TAGTTATTCTTTAATTTAGTCTTTTTCTTCTTGATGCCGCAACACCTAACAAAGTCTGAGGATAAACTACAAAGATGGGATCTTTAGAAAACGATTTTTTAAAATTTATTTTATTTTAAAGATGTGGGATAAAATTGTTTGGGCCTCCCTTTGGTCTCCACTTTGCCTAGTTTGAGATCAGGTACCCTTATTAATGTTATGTGTCCTCCTTACTCCCTCCCCTGGTAGTTTCTGGCTACTGCCAATCCCTTTATTATAGTACTATGGTAAAAGTTCAGGGTCCGCTCATGAATGAGAATATGTGGTATTCAGCTTTTTGTTTCTGTGATCTGGGAATATACCCAGAGGAACTTAAATCACCCTACAAAAAAGAAAACTATTATATTTCAAATGACAATTGAATATCAATTCAATTAAAAGTTCTAACTTTGTAAGAAAATTGATTTCATAGCTATTTTTTCACTTATGAAATATTACTTAAGCATAAAATATTAATTGTGATTATGGAAGTAAATGTTTTGTGGAAGACATCTGAGGTCCTCTGTGGGACACAAAGATGAAGGTAACTATTCTCAAGGGAGATCGACTATAGAGAAGAGTTAGGAAGCTACTGAGAAATGCCTAGATGGCTTCCAGAAATTCCTCATGGTTTACCTATAATATAGCAGAGAGATTTGGCCTGGACTTTGCCTTGTTCCCAGGAGATAACACTATTTGAGGTCAGAAGAAGTAGACTTGAAAATTTTAGATATATATACAGCCAGAGAGCCTCCAGATCCCAGTTTAAAAATCTATTAATACCCAATGTGGTCATATCTTCCTCTGTTTTCTCTTTAAATATTACTTTCAGTAATACTTGAACTTTCAGGTCAACATTATTAAAGAGGAATATAGTGTATTTCCATGTCTTCTGAAGGTTTTTAATGTCTCATTTTTATTTCCTAAAATATTTTTCTTCAATCATTATAAAATAGAGACAAAAGTAAAATACAATTTGATTAGCATAAACTTCGGTAGAGAAGCAATACTATTTTATTCTGTCCTTCACAACAGGAATTTGACTATCTAAAATATAAAAGAAACAGCTGTCAGGATTTTAGCAAACCAAATCTGCAGAAGAGTATATTCAGCACAGTGTTTGAGTAGTTGAGATTATCTGATACATTTAGATAAATGCAAGAGGTTTTCCTATGCATTTCTGGATATTCTTATGAATGAGTGGATCCGTAAGAATCAGGAGTTTCATGAGGAACAAAATTACAAGGGAAGAAAACATTTTTCCGCAAAGCTTAACAGCTCAGTGAGAAGAATGTTCAACAAGAAAATGCACTGTGCTACATCCAAGTGACGGAGCTGAGATCTAAGGCAAGTAGTTACTTTCTCAGTTTGTGCTACCGAGCAAAATGAAAAATGAATAAATACTGCATGTTCCTTTAGCTCAAAAATAAAAATAACTATATGTGCATGTCTCATGAGTCACGGAAGATATCTAACATTAAAGATTTTGATGAAATTTTAAGACATACCAATAAGTGAATATGTTCCCTATTTGCTAAATAAATCGTTAATCTTATAGTAAATAGACATTACATATTATATATAGGATGTTCTCATTTGAAAATTAGATAAAAATTATTAATATTAAGAATAAACTAATAATTAAATTAAACATTAGATTATTAAAATGAATATGTATTTTATCTGCTAAAAATCACTAATTGGTTTGTCGTATTCTAAAGAGATCAGTGAGTCATCTTAGTCATCAAATTTTCACTTTTACCATTTGGTGGAATTAAGATGATCTATTTTGTTTTTAGGTGGCAGTATCCTTTAATATATACATGACGGAAAAAGAAGGAAAAATGTATGTTTCATGTGATTGTTTCAACAAAAAAGGTAATGCTCTTTTGCACAAATTTGACACAAAGCAAGAATTTTATTCTCCCTTTTCCAATGATGTGGCTTATTGTATGACGATTTTGAAGCTTCTGCTAAATTTAAAATAAGATATCTAATAAATTGACTCAAAAAATCAAATAAAATGTCATGTAAACAAGATAGTCAAAATAAAATTGTTATGGATTGTAGAATATACTTCAGAATGTTATCAATAATGATGATCTCAATCATAATGAATGATGTCTTTCATCACTTCCTTTTTATTCTCTTTCTACCAAAATATCTTTAAAAGAAGAAAAAAAGGAGGGAGGGAATGAGAGAGATGGGGGGAGAGAGAGAAAGCAACATGAACTACACAGTAGTCACAGAGTTTGTTCTTCTGGGACTTTCTGATGACCCTGACCTTCAGATTGTGATTTTCCTCTTTTTATTTGTCACATACCTGTTAAGTGTTGCTGGAAACTTGACTATCATTACCCTAACCTTGGTGGACTCCCATCTGCAGACACCCATGTATTTCTTCCTCCGGAACTTCTCTTTCTTAGAAATCTCCTTTACAACTGTATGTATCCCTAGATTTCTCGGGACTATTATCACCAGGGATAAGGCCATTTCCTATAACAACTGTACAGCTCAACTCTTTTTCCTTATCTTCATGGGGATGACTGAATTTTATATTCTAACTGCCATGTCCTATGACCGCTATGTTGCCATCTGCAAGCCCCTCCATTACACATCCATCATGAACAGGAAACTCTGCACCCTGCTTGTGCCTGGGTGGGTGGGTTTCTTACCATTTTCCCACCCCTCATGCTTCTCCTCCAGCTGGATTACTGTGCTTCCAATATCATTGATCACTTTGTATGTGACTATTTTCCCCTCTTACAACTCTCTTGCTCAGACACATGGCTCCTAGAAGTCATTGGTTTTTACTTTGCTTTGATTTCTTTGTTGTTCACTTTGGCATTAGTGATTTTATCTTACATGTACATTATCAGGACTATTTTGAGAATTCCATCTGCCAGTCAGAGAAAAAAAGCTTTTTCCACCTGTTCCTCTCACATGATTGTCATTTCTATTTCTTATGGAAGCTGTATATTCATGTATGCTAATCCCTCTGCAAAAGAAAAGGCATCATTGACAAAAGGAGTAGGTATTCTCAATACCTCTGTTGCCCCCATGCTCAACCCCTTCGTTTACACCCTGAGAAACCAGTAGGTAAAACAAGCCTTCAAAGATGTGGTCCATAAAGTTGTGTTTTATACAAATAAATGAAACATTTTTGTCCAAAATAAAAGACACTATAAAAAGCAATTAAGTAAAATCTTGAAAGTCCCAAATATCTGTATCAGTAGTCTTTGCTGTCTCATCAATTCTTTATGTGCCCACATTATAATTTGATATTTTATCAGTCCATTTCTTCCAGTTCCATACCTAAGTTTTTCAAATACATTATCACTTACTTTAAAATAAGTAAAATTTGTTAAGAAAATTTAAATAAAATAAGCCTTTATAGAATTTTCTGGAAATGGTACCTATTTATTCATACATACTCTATGTATGATAGAATATAATAGTTTTAATACTGTTTGTATCAGTCCCTAAAACACACGTGTGTCATGTTGCACTTCAAATGTAGAGTTTTCCTTTGAGCAGTGTCTATTCATATCTTTTGCCCATTTTTAAATAAGACTGTTTTTTTTTCTTTTTGGCACATTTGAGTTCCTTGTAGATCATGTTGCAACAGTTTAAATAGACTTAGGGTCTATAATGCTCAGTGGTCTATCACAGAAACAAAGAACTGAGTGCCACATGTTGTCACTCATAACTCATAACCTGAACAATTTCCATAATACTATGAGAAATGAATTGGTAATAGTGGGAAACTGCCACAGGTGGGAGGAAAGGGACACACTTCATCAATAAGAGTACCTGATCTCAAACCAGGTAAAGTGGGGACCAAATGAGGCCCAAACTTTACCAGTACAATGACCATTTGTATACCTAACCCTGCACTGTACCCAACATCTTTAAAGTAAAATATTTTTAAAGGAAGTTTTTTAAATTTTACTTTTTTTCTTCAGTGTTTTCAAAATAAATATTGGTAATGTCATAGTATGTTTAGACTCTACATACTCTGTTTCATTGTTTATTGATTTCATTCCCTAGACGTAATATGTTCTATTGCATTGTACTTCAAATGGAGAACTTTTTACTTTGTAACATTTAGTGCATGCCCCTTTTACTCTTTGTCAATTAAGTTCCCCATTTAAAATACAAAAATAAATTTAGGATGCACCGTGATCATTTTAATTATATAAACATCAATTCAATAATTAATCATTTCACTTGAGGTATAAGTCACTGATCAATGGCTATACTTTGGAAAAATTTCATCTTCAAATGTTCATTTCTCTCTCATGTTCTCTCAAATGATATTAAAAGGCTTTAAGTCTAACTCACTTTAGTTCTAAGTTTATATACTACTGTTACTGACAAAGTATAATGTAAAAAGTGATTTCAAATACTTGTAAAATAATAAAAATATAACTTTACAAATTTTAATAGACTTCAAATAATTTACTTACCTTTTGTATCTCAACTGTCAAGTTAAGATCTGAAATGAAAGCATCCTAATATGATAAATTAACATTGGGACATCTCTTTGAGGATCTTCATGTTTAGGAATCTGACACTCTAAAGATGAACACGTGCCTATGTTTTAAATAGTTTCAAATACTTTTCACATATGTTTTTTATTTATTTATAAATGTGAGTGTCTACTAAAGAAATGATTCAATTTTTATATCTAATCCTGAATTGTACCCCACATCTTTAAAATAAAAAAATTGAAAAACAACTCAGTAATTGGAAAGATTTGTTCTTGCCTTCATGTAATTCTAGTAAGAGAAAAATAAAAGTAAATGTGTAATCACAATACAATTCTCTGTGATATATGTCTATGAAGAATATGTTGTACAGATACATAAACATATTAAATTCTAAATAATAGTAGGCTTGCTCATAACATGAATAATTTAGAAAGTAATGCCAATAAGGAAGTTAGAACAATTATTATTTTGATTTCTTATACTAGGATAATGACTGTTATGGAGATAACAAGTAAAGAAAATATTTAAAATTGCAAAGCCTCAGATAAATAAATAGATATGCCACTATTATCTAACATGTAGTTAGTACTTTAAAATTAGACATATTACTAAGCACATAAATGCAATTATCCCTTTGTATCCTCTATGACATACACAGTAATAATTTTTCCAGTTGCCAAATGACTTGTTCAATGTTGTTCCACAAATGATGTGACTGGATTTTATGCTTTTAAGCCTACCTGGCATGTCCAAATAAAAGCTGTGAGTCTATTCAAACTCATAAAATTAAAATCTTTTTAAAACTATAATATTTAGTGTGTGCTACTCTTGCAAGAAGAAAAAAACACATGGTCCATATGTTTGTATTTTGGTGGCCATAAAAATATTGTTTTAATTTTGTAGATGTATAACTATAATTACCCAACGAATTATAAGCAATGAGACAAAATTTTTTGTCGTCAAATGACTTGAGGAGTATTTGTTGAATTTTTGAGTTATGATAGTTGACCTTCTTCAGGTCATCAGTAAGAACTTAAAATTAGACATGATAGCTTTTTTAAGCTAATACTTGATTTAATACTATGCGTATTTTGAGATGAATTATAAAATACATGGAAACTATTTTTACAAAGAAATGATATCCACATGCAACATTAGTGTCTAATAAAGCCTATGGTATGAAAGACTTAGATTTTCCTGCAAGTCCTTGACTATTATCTGGTTCACAGAAGCTTGGAACAGCTTCCTCCACAATGAGCAGAGGCAGCCTTCCTTGCAAGCAGTCCTCCATAAAGTTGCCAGTGAAATATTTGAACAAAATAAATATGAACAGTAAGGAGAACAGTGCTAACTGAATGCATGCTGAAACGATGTGTCTTCTTCCCCACTTATCTGGCCCACTTATCTACAGACCAATTTAATAGCTACTCAGTAAGAATCAAGGCTGAATTACTTGATTACTCAGTATCATCATTATGATTTTTTTCTCATGGAATAGACTGTTTTAGCTTAACATGATGACTTAGTCAAGTAATAAGAGCTTTGGCTGTTAGGATGAACTCTGTCTTCTCAAGGAGGTTATTTTCTTGTTTCTCATTTCTTCATAAACCTAAGAACATTTGATTACCTAATATGTACGTGAAGCTCTCCTTGTTTGGTTTCACTTTTCATGGCTTCAGTTATTTACCGTCAACCACATCTAAATATATTAAATAGAAAATTCCATAAATATGCACTTTCTAAGTATTAAACTGAATGCTACTCTGAGTAACGTACGAAAATCTCACAATGTCTGGCTCTGCTCTGTCCCAAAATGTGAATCACTCCTTTGTCCTTAGACAGACTGTTGCGCTATCATGGTGCTTGTGTGTAGATAAACCATATTTTGCTTCATAATAACACCAAAATTCAAGAGTAGTGATGCTGCCAATTCGAATATGCCAAAGAGAAGCTGTAAAGTGCTTCCTTTAAATGAAAAGTGAAAGTCCTCAACTCAATAAGGAAAGAAACAAAAAAGTATGCTGATGTTGTGAAGATCTATGGTGAGAATGAATCTTCTACATGAACAACTGTGAAGAAGGGGAGGTAGATTTATTCATAATATGTATAGAGTTTGGTGCCATCTGTGGTCTCAGGCACACACTGAGGGTCTTGGAACACAGGACTCACAAATAAGGGGAAACTATTGTACTCAGCAAATGGCTGACAGGTAAATACTTGCTGTTATCTATTGATTTTGTTGTTGTTGTTGATATCATCAGGGTCATTGTTCACATAGCAACATCTCTCATTGAAAAGAGAACGGTACTCTCTCAGTGATTAAAATTTTTTCGGGGGTCCTCTTGCTTTGGATTAAGAAATGTTATGTTCTTCTCCATTAGATTGATTTATGCCATACCTTACACCTGTTTTCCACTGAATTAGGTTGATTTTTTTTCTTCATTCATATTTTATATAAATAATTTTTTTGTATGTATTGTTTTCCTTAAAAGGTTCTTCCAGGTTTTTAGAAGATATCAAACAACGTTAATTGTTCCCACCTTTACACCTATTAAGCATCAAGACACGTCCTTCAAGTTAAGCATATACTTGTTAAATTTTTTAAACTCCTTACAAATGCTGAGGGGTTGTTCTTGCTGTTTCAAGGGTGGCAGAGGCAGAAGAGATGAAGAAGGTGGCAAGAAAATTAAGAGAGGCAGACTCACTTGGGATAGCTTGAAAGAAATGCATCATAATTTCTAACATTTTGCCTCTTAATTTCTATAAAGTGTTTCTATACAGTACCAATCATTCTTCCACTGTTTGCTTTAGTTTCAGTGCCCATGTTATAGAAAGGTCCATGTTGTAAAGGAAGTCAAAAGTAGTCTTGGAAAAAAAGAACCTTTCTGCCAGATTGCTGGTGATGTGTTTTCTGGCACTACTTCTTCAACGTCTTCTTCAATGTCTTCTTCCTCATCATCTGGCACTGGTTTGGAAGTGCTTGTTCTCCATTAAGGCATTTCCTGTCTAGTTCTCTAGTGTGGTGTCTATTCACTCTTAAATTTTTCCAAGATCCTGATTTTGAAACCCTTCATCCTCCAACTTTTTTTGCCATCTCCACAATCTCTCATGATTTTCTTCATTGACTCTGTCATTGACCCTGAGAAGTCATGTATGACATCTGGGCATAGGTTTCTGAAACTTTTTTAACCTTTTGAAACTTTTCTAAATTATATGAGATTTAGTTTCTCAAAATATAACATTTGAAGGTAGACATAAATAACCTCTGAAATTTTTCAAGCTGTATATTTGGATTATGCTATCAACCAGAATTTTTATAATATTGTGGAAAAAAGTCAATTAGATTATTTTCATATGTTTTATCAAAATAATTAAATATTTTTTAAAAAATTATTAAAAGCTTAATTTTAAATAAATTTTAGATGAAATGACTTCTGTTTAGCCACTTAGCTGAAACAGAATTTTTAACAACAGAATTTTTTATCCTGACTGTAACAGTATATTTTCAATAAAGAGAGGTTGTTATTTAATTTTAGATAATATTTGTTCCTTGTATGAAAGGTGGAATGAGAACCAGAGATGGTTGCTGATGGAAAACATTTTCAATATTTTATAGATTATTTATAATTATGGATATGGGAAAATATCTTTAACTTTTGCAGTGTCATTTTTATGATAGGTATTTTTGAATGTTATATCCTATCCTCAATATCATTTTTACTTTTGTTTTGCATTTTATAGGGGAACATACATTTTCTGTTAAAGGAGGAAAATAAAGACCAGCAATACCTGCAGAATTTAATCTTCTAAGTCTATCAGATGACCCAGAGCTTCAGATTGTGATTTTTCTCTTTATATTATCATGTACATATTAAGTATCACTGGAAACTTAACCATTGAAAGGACAGACTGACAGCAGGAAATGCATTTTTAAAATCTTGTTCCTAAACCTTAATACAATGATGAGAAAGTAGAAGCTATGCTTTTGGAGAAATGCACACTTTAGGTAAAATTAACTTTGCCGACTTTGTCTTTTCAGAAACAGACTTTCTGGTGCCAGGTATCAGAGGTATCTCATAGCGGCAATCAAGCTTGCCTAGAGTAAAGGGAATTTATAAGGCCTAAGAAATCAAGCATTGGGTGAGGATTGTAAAAGTCTTGAAACTTGTAATTACAAAAGTTATGACCACCCGAGGGAGAGCAGGTGGGGATTTGATCTTCCAGTAAATTGGGCACTATCTACAGGAAAACCAAGGATCCCTGAAGCTACCCTCTGGGAATGCATAGGAGATAAGGAGGAGTGCATCCTCCATTGGCTCTAAGGAATGTCATTGGGGAAGATACAGGAGAATCAAAATCCTTGTCAGGACCTTCTCTAGGGGCTATGATAATGTGGGTGGACATTAACGGGTCTCTGTGTCACAGGTTTTCCAAGACATCCACAGGTGGTTGATAAGGAAGTCACGGCAGTCATGTCTACCTGACTACAACATCTCCAAGGAAAAGGATTTAAGCCAGGGCTTTGAGAGGTTACAAGGCCACAGTCACCTAGAGTGTAGGTCCGCTCCCTGTCTGTGGAGGGTGAACTTTTCTTAAATAAATCTTATCTTCTCTCACCTCTCTCTGTGTTGCAATTCTTTGCATTTACTGGGATCTCTTGGTTGCCAGCGTGCACCTCCCTCCGGCTTGCTGGCTCAAGCAGTGCTGCACCTCCCTGAGCCTCTCTCTCTCCATCCATCTGTTCTCACCCTATCAATGCCCTAACAACCATCATTCTCACCATGGTAGAGTCCCATCTACAGACTCCTATGTATTTCTTCCTCAGGAACTTTTCTGTATTAGAAATAACCTTTATGATTGTCTGTATCACTAGATTTCTGGGCACAGTTGTCACCAGAGACAAAGCTATCTCTTGCAATAGTTGTACAGCTCAGTTGTTTTTCTTCATCTTCCTGGGTATAACTGAATTTTACCTGCTCACTGCCATGTCTTGCGATCATTACATAGCCATCTGCAAACCCCTGCATTATACAACCATCATGAACAAGAGAGTCTGCATACTGCTGGTCTTTTGTGCCTGGTTGGCAGGCTTCTTAAATATCTTCCCACCAGTGGTTCTTTTTCTCCAGTTAGATTACTGTGGCGCCAATGTCATCGATCACTTTGCTCGTGACTATTTCCCCCTATTGCAATTATCCTGCTCAGACACATGGCTCCTAGAAGTGATTGGTTTTTACTCTGCAATTGTGATTTTGCTTTTCACCTTGGCATTGATAATTCTACCCTACATGTTCATCATCAGGACAATTGTGAAACTTCCTTCTGCTAGTCAGAGAAAAAAGGCATTTTCTACATGCTCCTCTCACATGATTGTCATTTCCATTTCTTATGGAAGCTGCATATTCATGTATGCTAATCCCTCTGCAAAAGAAAAAGCATCATTAACCAAAGGAGTAGCTATTCTCAATACTTCCGTTGCTCCTATGATGAATCCATTCGTATACACCCTGAGGAACCAGCAAGTGAAGCAAGTTCTTAAGGATACCATCCAGAAAGTTGTGTGTGTGTGTGTGTGTGTGTGTGTGTGTGTGTGTGTGTGTGTGTCTGTGT